ATGACCTCATGTAAGTCTTTTGAAAGTCTCTGGGTAAAGATCATAGTGCAGTGGAACCTGCAGAGAATCACTTCCCAGGTCAAAGCACTAATGCTGAGGATGTACATGCTGGCCTTTGGTTTAGAATAGTGCTGGTGGGGATCAGAAAGTAGCATTGGTTATTGGATGGAACTGGAGAGTAGGGGAAACCGAACCTGTTCTCTTGGCTCTCATGCTCTAAGGGTATGTCTAGACTACAAGCCTCTTTTGAAAGCGAGCGTCTAGACAGCAATCACTTATTTCGAAAAAGTGAGACACGTTTTCAGAAGAGAGCACCCAGGCAGTCTGGATGCTCTCTTTCGAAAAAGCCCTGTTTGCATTCAAGAACACCTATTTTCAAAAGAGCACTTTTGGAAAAAGGTGTTCTTCCTCGTAAAATGAGGTTTACCACAGTCGAAAAAACCACTGTGTTCTTTCGATTTAATTTCGAAAGTACGCGGCGGCAGTCTAGACATGGGAAGTTTTTTCAAAAAAAGGCCACTTTTTTGGAAAAAACCCTGTAGTCTAGATATACCCTTAGTGACCGGCTGTGTGTTCTTAGTTAAATCACAGGAACACAGAGGTATGGAGCACCAATTTGTAAAATGGGAATATTTTTACCTACCTCTGGGTAAAGTGGTTTGAAACCTATAGTGAGGGATGCAACATCAGTGCACAGTATTATTATATACTGGTCTGGTTAATGCATAATGCTGAGAGATCAAGCAGAGCACACCGTGTATTAGAAGACTAATGACTAGAAGACTTCAACTAGCCAAGTATGCACTGGTTAAGTATCCTATTGAGATTTTTTGAAGAATGAATTTTCACTAGAATAAAGCTTTGAGCGGCTCACTCTGGAGCATGAGAGATGGCAGTCTTCTCCTGGCTTAATGCTGAGAAGCCCGTGGGAGCAGATTCAGGAATGATTGATCATTGCTCATTAAGTATCAGCAACTGTTACATGTTTGATGTCCATTGCAGCAAGGAGCAGTATCACTCTACTACGCTTTGAGGTGGCCAGTTAACTAAAATCCACAGTTTCATCATAGAAGCTTGCATGCTTTCCTAAAAGATAGAATTTAAGAAGGGACCACACAATCTTCTGTTCTGATCTCCATGTCTCTCACAGATCACTAACACTCTTCCTCCTCCCTCCTCCTCCCCACAGTTGCATAACACTCTTCCCCCTCCCCCCTCCTCCCCACAGTTGCACTAAACCCAACAACCAAAATTAAAGCAAAGTATTACAGCCCACAGAAGAGACATTATGTGCACAGGCAGAAAACAGAAGGGGCCACAGTGTAGTAAAGCCCGAGGCCTATAGTGTGGCAGGGAAATGATTAAGTAGATATCCTCTAGGAGTGTTGGGGAAGTCCTGTAGTCTGTGTTACACATGTCAGACTAGATGATCACAGTGCTTCTGGCCTTGAAATCTATGGCACTTGAAAACCCATATTAAGATGCTAGAACCAGCACACACTGTGACTTACAGTAGCAAGTTATACTAGTGGATGCCTAGATGAAGGGTGGCGGCTAACGCTGATATTTGGGCTGTGGCTCTCTTGATCTCGAGGGAGGAGGATATATGTAATGCCCTGAACTGAGATTGCCTAATGGAGATCACTTTTTCAATAGCATACATGTAATAGATAATCAATCAATCTAATCTGTGGGCCAGATTCACCACTGATGCTAGGATTACATCCACTTCAATGGAGGTGTACCTGCTTACCTCAGGAGTGAATTTGTTCCTATTTCATTACAGCTCTTTGTCCAAAATATACTAGATGCTCTGCTTGGGTTTCTGTATCCCCTAGCTTGAGATGACCCTGTCTCAGATAGTACCTGGGAATGCTAAACCTTTTTCATTCAAAATTGTTGATACGCTATGAGGATAGGCGAGGAAATCTATTGTAGATTCTAGGACACTCTCCCAGGCATTGAGGTGAGTTTTTGCATGATGTTCTGGAAGGCGCAATGTGGTTTAGAATCCAAATTTTCTCTGATGAGGGGAGGATGGAAGAGAGAAGAATGAACAAGCATGACATGGGATGTATTCAGACTCTTGCATGGTACTTCTCAGGGGCATGCCGGGCGGGGAAGGTGGCAATATCTCTGAGAGAGACTCAGAATGCTGTGGTGTTAGCTTGCATTTATCAAAGAGCTAAGTTTGAAAGCAATTCAGTGGAGTCAAGATGGCAATCCCTCTCTGATAACTTTCTTTACAACAATTCTAAAAAAAATCCCACATTAAACTTGTAAAGAAAGTAAAGAAATCTAGCCAGTTTTCCGCTGCTATATCACCCTTCCCACCAACTTACAACTCCCATCCAACCTTAACATTGCTTTGCTGTTTAGGTCTGTTATGGAATTATGCTATTGGAATACTAATAGGTGTTCAAACACTGGAAGACATTTAAGCAATGCCAAACAAAACACATTGGTAAGTTTGTAGACTGAGCCACTTTGGAGATGATGTGCCAGAAAAACTTAGGAAATTGTTCAAAAATTCAGTGATAAGAAAAAGCCAACCACCGTAACGTCAAACCTCTTTTAGAGGGTTTTCACAGAAATAAATCTCTCTGGCTAGAAATGGCATGGAAATTGTTAAGGGGATCTTTTGAGAAGAATTTGGCACTTTCAGAAGCTAGTTTCCCAGTTATAAGATGATTATCTGGTTAGTCCAGACTGCCATTGCTATCGGACATGTCTTTTTTTATCAAAAGCTAGTAGCAAGTAAAATATGAACGTGCTGTTGTTTGACACCTTATTCCAACAGATCTATTCTGTGTGTAGTCAAACATGGCCCTCCAGACCGTTTTTTAATACTTTTTATTCCTGCTAGTGCTGCAAAACTGACGCAGCTGCAGAATAATGAGCTAGAATCTTTTCTGGCTTGTGCATTGCAGGTAGATTCTTCACTAAATTCTGATTGCAGAATCTTTAATGTTGGTAGTGAGTGAACCAGAAACACCCAGCTTAATTTAGAAACCCCCATGCCGAGGGTGCATTAGCAGGTCACAAAACCATGGGTTTACTTGTAAACTAAGCAAGTTTAATGTGGTGTCCACAAACATCGGACTCCATAAGAACATAAGAACGGCTGTACTGGGTCAGACCAAAGGTCCATCTAGCCCAGTATCCTGTCTACCGACAGTGGCCAGCACCAGGTGCCCCAGAGAGGGTGGACCGAAGACAATGATCAAGCGATTTGTCTCCTGCCATCCCTCTCCAGCCTCTGACAAACAGAGGCCAAGGACACCATTTTATCCCCTGGCTAATAGCCTTTTATGGACCTAACCTCCATGAAATTATCTAGCTTCTCTTTAAACTCTATTATAGTCCTAGCCTTCACAGCCTCCTCTGGCAAGGAGTTCCACAGGTTGACAACACGTTGTGTGAAGAAGAACTTCCTTTTATTAGTTTTAAACCTGCAACCCATTAATTTCATTTGGTGTCCTCTAGTTCTTCTATTATGGGAACTAATACATAACTTTTCTTTATCAGCCCTCTCCACACCACTCATGATTTTATAGACCTCTATCATATCCCCCCTCAGTCTCCTCTTTTCTAAACTGAAAAGTCCCAGTCTCTTTAGCCTCTCCTCATATGGGACCCGTTCCAAATCCCTAATCATTTTAGTTGCCCTTTTCTGAACCCTTTCCAAGGCCAAAATATCTTTTTTGAGGTGAGGAGACCACATCTGTACACAGTATTCAAGATGTGGGCGTACCATAGTTTTATACAGGGGCAGTAAGATGTTCTGGGTCTTATTTTCTATCCCTTTCTTAATAATTCCTAGCATCCTATTTGCCTTTTTGACCGCCGCTGCACACTGTGTGGAAGTTTTCAGAGAACTGTCCACGATAACTCCAAGATCTCTTTCCTGATTTGTTGTAGCCAAATTAGCCCCCATCATACTGTACGTATAGTTGGGGTTATTTTTCCCTATGTGCATTACTTTACACTTATCCACATTAAATTTCATTTGCCATTTTGTTGCCCAATCACTCAGTTTGGTGAGATCTTCTTGGAGTCCCTCACAGTCTGCTTCTGTCTTGACTATCCTAAACAGTTTGGTATCATCTGCAAACTTTACTACCTCACTGCTTACCCATTACTCCGTAATTCTTCTGAGTATGAGAACACTTTCTAATCATTCATTTCAACTAGGTGTTTGTGGTTTTTTTCAACTAGTTATAAAGAATTAAGGTATTCATGTTGCCCAGCAGAGGGAGCTATGGACAAATAAATACACTGCTCTGCTTTCCTCTGAGTGTTAAATGCATGTATTGTTTAAAAACAGGATTAACTGAGTACTACACAAAATTATGGCACTTAGAGGTTAGTTTTAAATACACTGTTTTGCTGGTTGGCCAGGAGTATGCTTTTAGCAGTTAGAGGCACTTGTATGCTATTTTGTACAGAGTTACACGAACTTTTAATGCTATCAAGTATCTAGCTACGTTCAAGGGGACACATGTTGACAATACAGTGCAAAAAGTAGTTCTAAAAATAGGAGTGTGTTCTTGACCTTGATTCTTATTGATCACAGTATCAGCAGTTTTGGTGACGTGTTCTTAGGGGCGTAGGCAGGCCATCGATAGGTGTCCCTCACACAACTGCAGGTTGCCAGGAAAGCACTCTGCACTCAATTTGAGCTAAAAGTCAGTTGAGAGAGGAGGTCATTGTTGCATTTCGTGCAGGGCTGGCTGAAAACATGAAGTAGCCACAAGAGAAATTAGGTTTGAGAGCCCAGGGGTTCAAACAGAAAGGAGGCGTTGGAGCTGCCTGCATTTGACTAAGGAGGGTGATTTGAATGGAAGGCCTGTGCTGGAAGGGCGTGCAGCATCTGAAGCCTCGTGTGAGCTCCTGAAAAGCAAGGGACTTGGCTCTTGAGTCTGACTGCACGCACGCACGGGGCATTTTTTTTTTTTTGGCTTATCCAAATACCAATTCCCTTTGGTAGAGAGCAAGCTTGAAAAGTTTCAGCAATGGAGAAGTGGGACAGCAGTGCAGGCACCTCTGCTTTCCACATGCCAGACTGGATGGTGAGTTGTTCAGTTTATTACACAGCTAATTGGTGGCTACTGGGTTTCTAAAGGGGTTTTCTCTTTGTCCAGTGGATTTATGCCAGGCACAATTCTACTGCAGTGTACTCAAGAATAATAACATTTGCCAGGAATGAGAATCATTAAGGTCAGAGGCAGGCAAGATCCAGTAGTCCCATCTCCCTGCCAATGCAGGATTATTCTTCATTGTACTTATATTGTCCAGTCTAACTGTGAAAAGTCAAATGGCAGTAGAAATAGCCTCGATCTATGAAATGGGTGTACTGTTTTCCTATTTCACAGAGATATTGTGTAAGGACTTAATATTTATTATAAAGCAATTGGAGATGCATAGAGGAAAAAACCACTTGATGTGAAGAATAATCTTGCATTGTCTACTCTCAGAACAAGTTATGCGTAGCAAACATGCTTTATTATTTCTTTGGCAGTCTGAATATTTATTACTAAGTAAGACTCTTGTCTTTGAATTGTATCTGTGTTGCTAACATCTGTTACACCTTCCTTAATGTTCATTTTAAAACAGGCAAGTGCTGCTCAACCTCCCCTGAACCAGTAAGAGGACAGGAGAGGAAACACAATGAGGACTAAAATAAACTTTTCTCTACTTTGCTCCTTTGGCACTAGGAGTTCTTGATATGGTTGACAGCTATGATTCTGTTTAGAAAACCAGCCAGCACTTGAACAGTTAAAGCTTGGGGGGAGCATCCACCAGAGAGAGTGTCTATGCAGCTACCGTGGATTGAAAAATGTGAGCCACCCTAGTGCAAAAGCATGGATGGTGCTATATGAAGAGCTACTACTCCTTCACAGATTGCTATTCACGTTTTACAGCCTAACTTCTTTCTGTGTGAAAAGCTGAGTCCTATCAGCTCTTCTAAGGAAGGCCTTTGGTTTGTTTTAGAACATTATCATGACAGATTTGGCTGTCTGTAAGTACTTTAAAATGGGTTGCAGCAACAAGTGTTGTAAATAGTCACTGGTGAAAACAGTATTTTCACTGGTCTGATGTAAATACTTAACGCTAGAAAATATTTTTTCAGAGAACCTGTTATGACTTGGTTTGAGCTTTGTTAGTCTTCTGCAATAATTCAGTGTTAATTAGTCTCTCTACAGAATTTGCTAGTCACTAAAAGTTTTCCAGTAACTACTACTAACCTGTCATTTTCTATCCCTAGAATTTGCTAGTCACTAAAAGTTTTCCAGTAACTACTAACCTGTCATTTTCTATCCCCTGGCTGCTGGCTTTCTATAGAATGAAATTCTCTACTGTACTTTACTCCCAACTTATCTTTTTTTTTTTTGTCACACTATCAGGAAGTAGTTATTACATTTGAAGGTCAGCATTGATAAAACTTTGCACAACAGATCCCCCTCGTTTGACACATCAGAAGTGTCGATTTTACACTTATCTTCAAATAGGGATTTATGTTTATAGACTAGATCTTAGTTTGGTCATTTATAATGCCTACGGTAGACCTCTTGGCAAAGAAGCAAGTGCCGTACTCATACTGGGATCTGAGCCGTGCTAGCAAAAATATAAGCTTAAATGTGGTGGTTACTAGCAGGGCTCCAATAGTTTCACTTTGCTATCTGGATATATATGTTTTCTGGAAAAAAATGTAAGGAGTGTGTGCTACAAGGTCCCAGCTTCAAAACTTTTAGTTGTGTATAACAGCCATGCTTAATCGTGCGCTGTTGGGGGAAATAATGACCCAACAGGTGTTTTCTCTAACTTCTATGGTCTTATGATTTTATACAGTGAAAGACAAAGCCTTTTGTTACCTGAGCAACTTTAAATAATGTGGGAAGAACCTTGCCACTTGGCCTCACCTGTTGCCGTGCCGCTACAAACAGACATAGTAACAAGTTTGGGGAACACTTTTCTCCATTTGTAAATATTTATCTATTTCTTTGTCCCAGTCTCTCTTTGGCATTGTCCACATGACACCGATTTTTAAAAGTTTCCCACCAGCACGCTTCCAAACATGATTGCTATGTTGGTAACACTAATGTAGGCTAGGGACTAGCAGACAGCAGCATTTTTACCTGTATTACACAAGCCTGCTCTGAACAGGTACATATGAACATAGTGATAACATCCTAGCATCTGCTTGGAATCTTACATCCATTAGCACTTCCACCAATGGAGCTGCATCAGTCTGGCAATGAGGAGAGGTTTTTTACTGAAGAAGCCTAACAACTGCAGTCAGGGGGAGTGATTTTTCAGACATCGAAGTGTGACTGTTCTATTGGTTTGCTAGGACCTGTTTGAGCAGGATGTAGTCTGGGCAAGCCACTGAGTGTGAGGGTGGGATTGAAATATATCATGTTTCACCTCCCCATTGGCACAGGCATCCATGAAATCTGAGGACCAAGTTCAGCCTCCATCCCGGGTCTCCTGTGAAGTGATAGAATATTCTCATCTCTCAAGATGGAGTTTGTACCAGTCTAGGCGGTGGTCTGGTACACCGCAGTGAGAGTCTAAGTGTACTAGAATACTGTAGGTCAACAGTCCGCAAACTTTTGAGGATCATGTCCCTCTTACTCTGTCCATGTGTTCCTGCCTCCCCCCACAAAGCCCGGGCCACAGCTTGGAACACAGCTGGGTTTGAGGCCATGGCCATGTGTGGGAATAGGGCAGAAGGGATGCCACAGCCAGGCTGCAGTGAGGACTGGCAGCTGGCCTGTGATCAGGTTTGGTTCTACCCCTGGCCTTGGCTGCTGGCGAACAGAGCCATGGCTGGGGATATGGCCAGGTGCGTGTGAGGCCAGGAGCTGGTGCTGCAGCTGAGGGCAGGGGCAAGATCAAATTAGCAAGTGGGCTGCAGCAGGGCCTGGCAGCCAGGCCTGAGGCCAGGTGCAACTCCATTCCAAGCCTGGCCCGCAGCCTCATCCCTGGGCCAGGAATAGAGCAGGAGAGGGGGCTGGCTTGGGCCCTGCTGCATCCCCAGGCTGGTTGTCCATGCCCTCCTAGGAGGGTGGTTTCCACACTTTGGGGACCTCTGCGCTAGATGAATGTCTGTGGCCTCCGAGACAGCTAAGGGCATGGCTACTGCAAGACGTCTGGATAAGAAGATAGATTACTAGGAGAAGTTCAGAGTAGGGATGTTAAAGACTAGTCGTCTAGTCAACTATCCAATAAGCACTTGCTTATTGGATAGTCTGTCATTTATTTGATACCCTAATTCTAGGTGCCACACTTAGGGTATGTCTAGACTGCAGGCTTTTT